ATCTATTAATTTACCTCTAGTAAAGGATGTGAAAAATTTTAAGCTGAAAATACCTGTGTTTGCCATAATCACTATTGATATTGAACGTATTTAGACTTGTGTCTAATAGTTTCCAAACAGTGTGCTTGATTTTAGAGCGTAACCGGAAAAAGCCAGTAAATAGCTTCTGATTGCATGTGCGGTTGAGTGATAGTGAAATATTTATGTGGTGTTATTATACTTGTGCATGACGACCATACAAGCAAAAACACAGGAAAATATACTTCGTGCCTAGGAACCATGCATAATATTTCGCTCTTGTTCTTGCTGTTCTGTAAAAAAACAATGATGTACATCCTAGTTATGCTTTGTATTGGAAGCGACGAAAAACGATTAGTACAAAAACAACAAATTTAGAAATATAGGCAAATTAATATATAAGTATATACTTGCTATATGCATTGCGTAGCAAGAAAAAAAGTTTACAAAATGTAACGATTGTATCGAAAATTACGGGAAAGATTGAAAACTCACAATTTGCATAATATTGCGTCCGTTCGCGCTCCAGTGTATAATAACATATGAACCATTTTTTTTTTTTTTTAAGAAAAAATAAAATATAATTTTTTATTTATAATAAATCAAATAAACTGAGTTTTCGGATAGGATTCGAAAGGCTGCACTTTTGCTTATACAAAGCAACTCATGTGCTAAGGTCTTTCTTCAATCCATACAAAGCTGTCATGTTGACAGCAAACATTGGGATTTATAAATCATCTTTCTTTTCTGCCACTTCAGCCACAAGTGTCAAAAAGGGTTATAGGTGCAGAAGGATGGAAGGAAGGACTAGTGTTTATGTACGTTTGACTTAAAACTGAAAATATCAGGTCAATTGGCGAAGAGCGTTGCTGGTAGATTGTTCTGAAGGCGTCCAGCGTGCTTAAAGAAAGACGAGTAGCGTTAGTATGTCGTACCGTATGCAGAAAATTCCAGGACGTGTGGGTGGGAATGGTGAGTAGGCCTTGTGATCCTGTGAAAGGATATAATTGATGGAGAAACCTCTTTTGGTTCCGTAGAATACTTGTCGTGGATGCACCTTCACAAAGCACCACACAGCTCACGTCGCGCCGATGCTCGAGAGTATCGATAGTTTTGAACACGCTTGCGTAGTCCACGAGCATCTAAGACTTACGTTGTGTATGATCGATAGTCTTCATGAGGCTTTCGCGCTCATATTCCAGTTTAAACATAGTAAAACGACCTCCAAAGTGTAATGTAATGAAATTAGAAACGCGAAAGGAATAAAATTACAGTGTAGGCAAAATTAGTAACTCTACGCATGCGTGCACTAGGTTTGCTTAGGTTTATTTTCCAAACCAGCATCAGGTTGTTGCTTTCTAATTTCTTGTTTTATCGCTCTTCGCTTTACTTAGGCATTTGTTTTCAAGTCTCTTTATTATCCAAGCGCTGGTCAAAATATCTCACATCCTCATCGGAAGGTTTATTGTGGTAATTAGTTTTGCAACGGCATATATTTGTTCCCTAAATGAAGAGATAATTTTTACTGACCTAGATTCACTACATTTCAGTTTGCATTCACTCTTTTTCCGTTGTAGTCATTAAGACAGGTATCTCTCTATCATCAGTAAATCTTTTCATAAGTAGACTCATGGTTCGGAAATAGGTAACTTCTAAATGGCAAATAAAATGTTTACAACTAACCAGATTGTGGCACAACATTTTTTATAGCAATAACAGGATCTAACGCTTTTTTTAAGACGTTTCTTAAAAACTGAAGTTATAGCTAGAACGCAGTAAACGAATCTGAATAGATAATGCTAATCTTTGAGATCAAATTTTTACGCATTTAAAGATGCGCAGAAAAGAAGAACAGCCTCAAATAACTCGACAGCTAAACTTTTAATTAGTTTCAAAAATTTAGCTTAGTTGATCAAGGCTCTATTGTGGCAGTCAATCTTCATTTGTTTTAGCATCTCTCCGAGAACTCTTTTTAAGAATTTTACAACAAAATTATTGAAGTCCCAGGATTTATGTAATGCGAGAGTTGATAAACTAATATGAATGAATGGATGTAAAGTAAAAATGCATTCTTTAATTTTTACAGAATTTATTGGATCTTTTTGCTTTGCTTTTACATATTATCCTCTTTTAAAACAATCCCCAGTTGTGTGTATTTAAAGCATGAACACAATCAAGTTTGCCTTAAGTACATTTTATAAATGCATACATGATTTTTTCATGTATTACTTCCATTCAACAGGGATTTCAGTTATAATAAAAGACATCTCGGCAAGCTTTGTCCGCCTTTGTTGCTCACCACATAAGTCGAATGTACAAAAGTTGCTCAGTTCCTTTAGTGGCAGCTTAAAGCTACTTTCATTTGTAATGAACTTCTGTCTGCTTTCTAGCTTCAGTTACATTTGTATTTTTCGCGTCGATTCTATGTTTAGTTAAAATTCTCTCTCTCTCTCTCTCTCTCCCTCTCTCTCTCTCTCTCTCTCTCTCTTTCCCTTTCTTTCTCTCTCTCGCTCACTTACGTGGTACAAACAAATTTTTCCAATTCCAATAAAACTACAGTTAGCGGGATTTGCCTTAGCACATTAAGGTAAACAGTAAGCTTAGGAGCAAAACTAGCATATCTTCATGTTCGGAGAGTTTTATTGGGCTCAGTTTACATTCGTTTTTGGTCGAATCTACTAATGCCCTCCAACAACTCATGTCCGATAATTATTTTCAGACACCGATAAGTAAACTAAGTAATTTTCCATCATTTGTCAAGCACAGTAACATTATATAGACATGAATGTGCATGAGCCCCTTGGTATTTATTTACCGTTATCTCTAACTAGTTAGATCGAGTCAAAGTACTACACTTTTTAGCTGCCGAATAGAATAATTTAATTGAATATACGTTCGAATATTTCTACAGCATTGCTAACGGCGGACAATCTGATGCATATATTTATTTCAGGCAACGATAAGTAAACTATAAGGAATTTTCAATTATTTGAGCAATAATCAAACCATTTAAACCATTCAACCATTCAAAGAGAATGGAAAAATCATACGCTATATAAAGCTTGTCGAACTCAGTAATATAATATAGATATGTCCAATATTTACTTACGGTTATCATGAACCAGTTAGATATTTCTTTAGAAGTGTCAGCAGATGACAAACCGGTGTATAGGCGACGGGTGGCTTTTGCCTTGAAGATAACGTAAATACACTGAAAATCACCTACAAAAATGATACGCTTTTCATTTCCATTTCTTTCATTTATTATCGTCGTTATGATCATCAAGCCATAGGCCATTGTATTTAATTACAAGATATTTACATATATATGTACTGATGTAATCAACTTGCTTGGCAATATCCGCGGTAATCATTTCATTAATAGAATTGTAATCACTCTGTTGAACGGTTGGGTGACGGAGACCGAATGATTTTGATAATTGCAGCTTTAAAAAGAGAAAATCTGCTGTCAAGTTTAAATTTCCAAAGAAAGGCAGAAAACTATGTTCAGGGTGAAGTGAAGAAATCTATTTGTTGTACTCAACCTTTATTTATGTATTATATAAAATTTCAAGGTGAATCGAAGATTTCTTTGTTCAATATATCGAACATACATTCATATTACTTACTATAAATCACGTATGAATTAAAAATCGCATTTTTTCATGAATGGAATTATCTTTGGATGACAGTACAATGAAGAAACTTTGTTACTTATCCGATTCAGCTGGTTTTGAAAGTTATGTGACGAGAGCGACAAAAAAATGGGGCAGTGTATTATTATTATTCTTATTAGAAATATATATAGGCCTTGGATACACTTTGGAGGCTTTGAGGATACTTTACATATGCTTTGCGTACGCCTTGAATTCGACTTGAATACGCTTTTATTACGCTTTTGAGACGGTTTACAAAAGTCTTTCATATGATTTATATACGCCTTGCGCATGGGCCTTGCATATGTACCTTACAATTTTCGGTCTAAGGGTAAATCGGGCGATTTAAATTTGCATAAAAGGAACTTCTACCAAAAAGACGTTTAGCTAACGAATAGTTGACGAGCAGCAAAAAGAATTGAAAATCAAAGTTGGCGTAATGTCTCACTAAATGACGTAAGGAAAGATAATTTGTCTGTTCCGAATGCGCTTTGTTCGATGCTTGACTGCTACGTGCGTTTAGAAAAACGCTTCCAAGTTGAGATCTGGTATCGAATTATATGCTCGTTTTGTTGTTGCCTTCGTCATTGTTTTTGGCACCAATGCAACTTACAACTACTTTTTGATGTGCATCCTGTGCATCCTTGATATGCAGTCGAGAACTTCGCACTTGCAAGGAGAACGCGAGAAAAGTAAACCTACGAAAAGTTTGAACAATAGTTTTATATATAAGGTTTATTTATATATAGCACATTGACTGTAAACGTTCTTCCACCGTTGCGCTCTAAATTTTCCAATCTTTTTTTTCCTATTCAGAATTAAAAAGGCTCACGATTTTTGTTGTTTTTTAGTTTTATTTCAAACATGGCCACGATATCGTAGGAGCCAACTAAACAAAAATATTAGCAGATCATAAGTGTACGTGTGGATAAGACGGGAAGATGATTGATTAATAAATAAACAAAAAAAAAAAAAAACCGATCGAATCGGTTTACTAAATCTAAGATAAATAAAAGCATTTGCTGGACACAAAGTTCATTAAAGTTTTATAGAACGAAAAAAAAAAAAAAAAAAACGAGCCATTAGGTGTACGTCTTATTGAGACTTCTTGTTGAGAACATCTTAACTAATTGAGATTTGTTATTGCTGATCGAATATGCGAGAACTTAGAACTAAGTAACATTAAGTATTGTTGTTATATATGAAAATTAATTAAAAGTAAGAGTTGACGGTTGATTGCGATTGAAAAAGAGATGGTTTCCTCAACTCATTTTTATATTATAAAATTCTTTTTTGCTGTTTTTCTGTTTTCGAGTGTCGGTACATTTAGGAAGCGATTGCAAAGTATTCTTTTGCTTTACGGGGATCGGCAACCATTGTTTTTTGTCCGGGCTTCCAATTTGCCGGGCAGACTTCGCCATGTTCGTCGGTAAATTGAAATGCCTGCACCAAGCGCAATGTCTCATCGACACTGCGTCCCACATGAATGTCGTTGATAGTGATTTGACGTAACAATTGATTCCTATCAATAATGAATAGGGCACGGTACGGTATTCCAGTCTCTTCATCCAATATATCATAGTCCCGTGTAATTTTCATTGACTTGTCGGCCATTAATGGTATATCCATTTCACCCAAGCCGCCCTGGCGACGTGGCGTGTTAACCCAAGCCAAGTGAGTATATTGGCTATCAGTAGAGCACGCGACCACTTCACATCCAATGTTGCGAAATTCAACGATACGATCCGAAAATGCTACAATCTCGGTGGGGCAGACAAATGTAAAATCCATGGGATAGAAAAATAGCACTAAATATTTGCCGCGATAATCGACCAAGCTGATATCGCGAAACACACCCTTAATAACGGCGGTACCTTTGAATGCAGGAGCCATTTTCTGTATTTGCGGCATTTCGTATTCTTTTTCTTTTAATTACGTTTTTATATTACCACGAAACTTTCTTAAAAAAAAAAAAAAAAAAAAAAATATTTCCTTATAACGCACGACTACGACAATCTCTGCCAAATGAATTTTTTCAAATACGGCGATTTTTCTGTGACAATGAATGAAAATTTATTTTTCTTTTTGCTCAGAAATGCACTATGAAGCAAAGTCTACTTGAATTTATTTAAAATATTTTTCAATTTGCAAAGTTTTGTTCAGCACAGTGTTTTCCTTTCATTCAATTTCATTTGAAGTTTCTTGTCATCAAATGAAAATTTTGCAAAAATTTCTTGTTTATCTTTATGAAATGAAATTTTCAAGTTTATCGATTATGCGAATCACGGAAAGATGGGACTTGTCGTAAGGTATTATTTAGCATTTTAATTTTTTTTTTTTTTTGATTAGAGAGCTCGCAGATCACCGTGATCCTAAGAGAAAGAAAAATAACTAAATATTCGTGGTCCATAGTGTTGCGTGGGCGTGCCTGATTTTTCCTATTTTCAGAATAAATGTGGAAATTTATATCGTATATGTGTTGCTACATAGGCGTGTGTGCGTCGCAGGCGTGTTCCTTGAAAAGTTTTGGGTAATTTTCAAATTCTTTTGCAAATTTGCAGACGATATCTTCATTTTGGGGAATGGTTACCACCGATACTACACAGTTTCGCAGCCGTACAGGTAAGCAGATGACACACTATAAAATTAAGTAGGCAAGGTGTTCTAAGTTTACGTGGTGCTATAGATATTTTCCTGGACCGATCTGACCCATTTTGAGTGCCAACTTGCGCGCAAGAACTTCCAATGTTCTTGCCAGCCAGCACAAGGTTTACAACGGACGGAGAGACGGACATGTTTAAATCAATTCAGATTTCGCTGCTGATTATGAATATATAGACTTTGTGGAGTCGCTGAAGCTTCCTTCTGGGCGTGCAACCCTGTTGACAAAATGAATAGCGATTGGTATAAAAATGATAAATAATTGTCCAACAGTCAATCAGGTTTGTTTATTTATATCTAAATTCAAAGCTTTCGCAAAAACGCCAACTGCAAACTAGCAGATCTCTTGACCCTTATGTGTTATTAAGATATAAAAAGACTTCCTTCTATCCTCGGGTGTGTTGCTTGACCACTTAAAGGCTTAAGAGCATTGAAGCCAGAAATATGTATTTCCTTTATTTTTATATAATTAATAAAAATGTGTTTGCCTTAGGCAACTGTAGTGGCCCGTTTAAACAAATTTCTTGCTTATTTATTGCACTGCCATTAAACCGCGATCCATTCAGTTGACAAAAGATAAATTCATACATCAATACATAACAAGTTTACTATTGTATTAAACTGACACTAAGCGGAATGACTAAAACGCGCAAATTCATACACAAAATAAAAATGGCGAACTTAGCCGGAAAATTCAAATTTTCATGTACTTTTGCCACCTTTTTTATTGCCATCACATTCCACGTACATATTCGATTGTTATCGTATTGCCTAAAAAGCTTTTGTTTAAGTGAACAAATCAAAATAAAATAAAAACGTAAACAAAGTGATAAATTGCTCAACACTAATGTATAGAAAGTTGAAATCGTGTAGAAGAATTAATCTCTCATGTGTTCGTATTGCGCTTTTATTTCTAAAGCAATCAGAGAACCACAAAAAAAAAAAAAAACTACAAAAGAAAATTGAATGAAAATAACGAATAAAATTGGGCAAAATATTGCAGTAAGGGATGGGGAAAAAATTTTGGGCCCAATGAGTTAGTTTGAAATTTCAGGATAAGCGAAAAAAGTAAATAAAAGGATTAACTCTTACAAAAAGAGAGATGAGATGGATATGATAGATGGGATCCCTTAATTCCTATCGTTTTCATGTTAACAACTAAATAGTTATCAAGTATTTTTAGTTTGTTGTAATCTGTTGATGTCTTAAAACGTTTGTTTCTGTACATTCACTTATCCAAGGTTCACGTATTCCATCAAGTAAAGCTCTTTAGGAAGCAAGCAAGAAAATAATAAAATATATAAAGTAAAGGGACAAGATGGTGATCGCAAAAAGTTGGGAGTGACAGAGTGACAGGGAGGGACCGAAGCACCGAAGATATGTGCCCAATGGATAAAAGTTCCGCCTTCACCGGCTGATATAAATCTTAGAGTTTCGCAGCCTTCCAATCGTTCTTTCAGGAAACTAAAAGCTTACGGAATTATACATTTTCTGGGTTTTTTCGCCCTGCATGTAAATGTAAAATGTGCGACGCAGGTTCGCCAGAAACAACACTTTTGAGCATAAAGTCTTCGAGCAAAAAAAATGAGAAGAGTGAAGGGAATGATAGAATATAAGATCATTTTTATAATCCTTTGATTGGAGACTAATGATAAAAACTAATCAATAAAAAAATTTATTGTATTAAAAAAACAAAGCGCAAGGTCTTAAAGCCTCGTTTTTCACGGCACACAATTTGTTAAACTCGTTGGTAACGCAACGTATACAGTTTTCATCCTTTTCTTGAAATAACTTGATTTTCTCTAACGGAATCTGTGCGGAATTTAATCAAAATTGGAACTTTTCTGTTCAAACACTTGCAGTCACACCTAAGTCAATGCTTTTAAAAATCGCTAAAGTGCCTTGCTAGCTGTGGGAATTAAGATTGAAGGATTTTTAATTTTAGACTAAGATTTGGCCTAAAAGACGTATCGTCTTCAGTGCTTTTGAAATTGAAAACATTTCACGTAAATAGCTGCAGTGACGCCATTTCTGATTGTTTTTCAAATATAATTTTTGTTTTCAATACTTAAATGCATGCTTAATAACCGCCCCCAAAATTGTTATTTCGTTAACTATCCTTTCAGTTCAAATGGATTGGTAATTCCCACCTAAACCAATATGCATAATATTTGCATAAAGATTTGCGAAAAGCTATGTTTTTGCATTCTTTACGAAAACTCTTGAAAAAAGCATCTCGCACAGTTTCATCTGCGATCAACATTTCTCATAATACATGGCGCTTGAAGTTATTGATGGTCAATAATAGCGCAGAAAGACAAGCAGAAATTGATTGGCTTGATAGAAGCGCATAGGGACGTCATCAAGTATGTAGTTGATCCTAAATATCCTGTCGAATTGGATTCCAATGATAAGTCGACGTAACTTATACATGAAAAGATTTCTGGTCGAACGACGTTCAAAGTATTCAATGCACCGTCGTTTAGCGGCCCTGTTAGCATAAATTATGGGATTAACGCAAAACTTTAGAACAATGGAAGAGTCCAGCCCACGGAAACAATGAAAGTGTGGAAGGACGTAATCTTCTCCTTCGTCCATCAAATTATGTTAGGATAGTACTCAGCGTCCTTACACGAACAGTCCTATAATCTGGTGCTATTGACGTCAGACTAAACTTTCCGATTAAGCGATACAACAATTTGTATTCCCCTCCTACCTTCATGTTTATCTGCTTAGTCGTTCGCACATTACCTGTTACGCAAGATGTCTCCGTAGTTCATTACTTGCTTTTCAAATATTTCGTATTCATTACGAGATTCTTTATATATTGTTTCTTGACACGTGCTAACACTTCCTTACACCTCTCCTTAATGTTTTTTTATTCGTTACAAAATTTATTTTATGTTAATTATTAGTTCTTCAGCAGGCCTCTTATACTCTATTAGAAGTGCAATATTAACTTACTGTTGACGGGATTTTGTTGTCTGTTCGCGTTGAAAGTTAAAGCCAGGAGAAAGCCAAAGCGGAAATCCGTCACCGACATTAAGTCGTTGTCGACAAAAACACGGAATCATCTTATTCGAAGTCATCACCCGGATCCTTGAATGAGATCAAAGCCATTTGCCGTATCTTAAATCTGCTTAATTCAATCGTGCTATATATAGAGACACATTTAACCAAAAGGGTGGGAGTAAAACGATATAAGATTTTGGGCCTCACAAACGCATGTATGAACGTATGCCTCTATAGTATGCAACCAAGTTGTTATGGTTCAATATGTGATTCAATCAACAACGCAAAAATAAGTAGAAAAAAAACCAAAACTTTTATTTTTATATTTCAATAACGTACGGAATACATGATACAAACCAAACATGCACTATGCGTAGTAGTTGAAAAGCGTCCAACTATTTGACGCTAGATGGAATTTTATTTTCCACTCATTTTTACAATTCTCAAAAAAGCAACATTCACGAATTTATTTCATTACAAAAAAACAAAAAAAAAAAATCTGCAAATTTATTTTCGTTTTTTTTTTTAGTGTTGTTGTCAGTGTATTTCACTAAAATAACTTGATACGAAATCCGTCTACGAACGCGGAACAAAATGATTCCTAAATGTGTGGCATCGTTGCTTGGCTGCGGATTTCAGTTTAGCATTAATTAGTGTAACGTAAACTTCCTGTGGTTACAATTTTACAACAAGAACAACAATCACAAAAACAGCGTCATAATGCCACAAAAAACATATCTTCTTTTCGCAAACAAACACATGTACAATTATTATTTATTTTTTTTTTTTGCTATATTACATCTGTCATCTAAAAAGTTCCTTATATTAGAGTAGAGGAATAAAAAAAAAAAAAACAGCATAAGTTGAACAACGGAGCGTATGAGTTCTATTATTATTATTTGTTAGAAATTTTCTCATGCTGTCCTCTTTTGCTTGTTTTTTGTGTGGTTTTCCGTTTCTACGAAAATAAATAAAATAAAAATAAAAAAAAAAATTAAAATAAAACGTTATTTAAACGTGCGACCGCTTTTAAATATGAAAAACATTTTAGATAGAATGTATGAAGAATTTTGTTAAATAGTTTTTAAAGATTTCTTTTTAAATTTCCAAACGTAACCATGTAACGAGAAAGTATTTCAATTTAATAGTTGTTATGAACGAATACGTTCTTCAATTCATTTCAGCTTTAACCATGATCTATAGAAATAAGAGTAAATAGGCCAAGTCATAGTTGTTTA